GCCGTCCTGTCTTCGATCTGGTCCACTGGTGGCACGAAGACGAGCCCGGGAAGCCGGAGGAGAGTCTGCTCTGGCCCGTGTCCAAGACGCCGATGGGCCAAACGACCATACCACTCCCTCTCGACTCTGTGTGCGGTCAGACGACACGAGTTTGGCCCGTCGGAAATGTCAAACCGAAACTGAGGATTGTCTCTATCACGCGTCTCTTCGGCTCGTCCGATGAGACGACAGGCGACCAGCAGGCGCCACGCCTCTGCTTGTCGGTCGGGTCTAGCGGACTCGAACTCAGCCACCGTGCATTCATCTGCCAGTCGGTTCAGAAAGTTATCCGACTTACGCAGTTCGTGGTACAGCTCGCCCACACTTGCTTCACTGTACGTCAGCCCCAGCGGCAGGGTCTCGATTGTGTGACGCCTGTTTTGGCTCTAACATCCAGACTGTCTCCATCGCCAAGGGCTGTTGCTGTGGAACCAAGTTGCGAGGCTCCAGTCCGTCTATGCAAGCCCCATTGGGCACATATGTCTTTCTGTACATACGTGTAGAAAATTAGATCTGCCAAGCACCCTTGTCTCTGCGTTCTCCCTCTTGAAAAGCAGTTTTATGGTGCCTCAAAGCTTTCCGGCATTTCTTCTGATGGACGGAATCGCAAGCTTGCACAACTGTCGCACGAGATGGACTGTGAAAAAAGGGAGAACCATTTCGACTTCAAAAATGGCCAACATTCGTGCCAATTTGTCCACCGTTTACTCTCCATTCTAGAAGCTGGGGTCTGCGTACTCATGAGCGGTTGGCTGGCGAGGTAAAGGAGCCTTGGCGGATTGTAGCTCTGAGAGACGGCATGACAACAATGTTGTGGAGATTTTCATTTCGTCTGCGAGGACATGATGAATAGAAAGCGTCTCGTCAGAAGACGCCAACTTATTCGCGTTGTACTGTGGCCGTTTGGCATTACTACCGCGTTCTGGTTGATGCAGTCCACGGGACATCCTCCAACGTTGCGGGCGAAGACGAGTCGAACTATCGTTCCTCATGCCACGGGATAAGCATCGTCAAAGCTGGGACTAATTCTTGCAGAAACCTCAAGTTAACACTAAGTCAAGAAGATTGGCTTTTTCTATATGATATATAAACTCATAACAGGAAAAATTTAAGATAAAGATAGATATAGAAAGATTTGGTTTATTCACTTATGCTCGAGGGTGTCTGT